ACCTGATCAAGAATCATCCACAAAACAGTCTGTCTTTCAAAAAAATTAGAAGTGCATGAAGATGGATGTGAGCGTGTCTAATCTTAGGTCGACGATAGGTTGAAATTAATAACTTTGGCAACACGTTTCATCAAGTCAAAACTAAGGCAGACTAACTTCCTTGTCGACTGCATCTATGTTATTGTCGAAAGTCAACTCCTCGTTGGCGGTCATATGATTTTTGTGGAGTTCGACCCAAGGAGATCGAATTTTATTTTGAACTTGTGTTATTAAATATATTGTATGATGTATCAAATTTTTCAGTTATCATTTCATATTCGATATATATTCATGTCAACTACGGTCGACTCTTTTTTATGTAATTATATGTGTGGTTGTTATAATTTTCTTTTGAGGGTGTGTCTAAGGAACTAGGATAAATATTTGGGTTTCACGCTTGGTTGAGACCGTCCTAGTCGACCGGCGTCCGCTTCGTACTTAGGAGATCAGCGCCCTAAGGGGGGGAAAAAGTAACGGCCACGTACGACTTGTGATCGCGGCCGTGGAACAGGTGCAACCCCTAGAAGGTTCTAGGGGTTGATGGGACTGTGCCTGTTCAATTGAAAATGTAACTCTGAAATGGCTGAGTACAGTCATTTCCAGGGGCACCTAGCCTGGGAAATCGGTCAGGTACTCCTGGAAACTGATGACCTTGGTTCCCCTAAGGGAAAACCAAGGCACAAAGCTCCTGACCATTGATTTAAATCAAGGGCCAAGAGCACTGGCGAATTTTTGCTTGGCAGTGGGCAAGGCAACTGCCCACATGCCTTCGGCTAGCTATAAAAGTCAGCTTGTCACCCAACAGCCTCACACTTGTGGCAATGTTGTTGGGGCATTCTACTTGAAGTAAATGCTGGTTGGCTGGCTGTTGGTGTGGTGAGGCGAGGTGTTGGAGGTCTGCAGAAGCACTTGGAGGAGGAGAGAGGCAGCCATAGCTAAGGGTTAGGAGCTTCTCGCCCCACCTTTGTGCTTGTGCTGCACACTTGTGTGAGAGCTATAGCTTTGAGACTGCGACAGGGTGAGACCGTGCAACAAGAGGCAAAGTTTTAAGGGGAGGTGTTGTCCGACGGCCTACACGATGATATTCGAGTGGGAAGGTTGCACCGTAGTATTTTTGGAAGAAGATGCTATAGAAATTTTTGTGCAGCGCGGCGGTACTTTTTGCAGCACGATATTTGACAGTGTTTTGAGGGGAGGTGCTGGCGGAATTACGCGACGAGGCTGGTGGGGTTGCTGACCATATATTGGGGTTACGGCGGTGACTTTTTTTTTGGGCACGGTGCTTGGTGGTCTGGCTGCTAGGGTGTGAGCCTACGACATTGGGGTTGGAAGTGCTTTTGTGTCTGAACAAGTGCCGCAATCCAAAGTTTTTTTTTGGAAGATCGTTTGGTGGCGCGACGACGACGTGGAGATACTTGGGACCCAAATTGGGACCAAGGAGGTTGGGGGTTGAAACCAAGGCAAGTGTTGGTGAATACCTTGTGATCAGACGAGGTGATTGGAGGAGGTTGGGATGGTGATTGAGGTGAAACTATTCTTGGTGAGCAAGGTGTCGCTGGGACTGTAGTGGGACCATGTGAGACTTGTAAGTGAGAGCACCCTCCTTGAGGGCTATCTCGCTTCAATCTTAGCGAGTGACGCCTGTGTCAGTGGTGACGTTTGAAGAAGGACGTGAATCATTGTTTTGTAAACAGCCACTACTTAAGTTTTGTGGCATTTTAAATAATTACTTGGCTTTCTTGAGTGAGTCATCTTTAACTTCACTCAAGGTCAGTTGTGACTCAGTTTCCCTTACACACTTGTGTGAACTCACACCTTGCATGGTCGTGCTTACATGGATGATTTTTGGGTTGTTTCTTCTGTTGATTGTGCCGGTAGGTAAAGGGTGTATGTGAGAAGGGATCGACACTATGCTTGCTCAAGGAATGTTGGAAATATTAACCTTTCTTCAACTCTTTACCTGTCTGCATGTCAGAAAAAGAACGTAGTGAAAAATAGGAGTTGACGGAAGCCTATGCACTCGACACCGGCGTTCGGGACCAGCAGAACGCCCGAATGTTCGGCACCCCCTCTCGACGCGTTTGACCGTTCGGCCAAACGTGAAAAAAAAAAAAAAAAAACAACAATATATGTTATGCAGAAGAATAAACGAAACAACATTTTCCCCAACGTTACATTCAAATTCTTTGCCAAATTGGAAATAAAAATCAAATACTGAAAATAAATAATAATAATAAAAATTAGAAAAAATAAAACGAGAATGACATTATTGAGTGGGCGAGCACGTTTTTGCCACCGCCATCTTTGGCGATTTTTCTAATTTTTTTTTACTGTGACAAATGCCATGAAAATTTATGCATGTGTATCTTACATAATAAATAATCTACAAATAAAGTTAAAAAAAATTATATTTTTTTTCATGCCCCGAAATAAAAGAAAAATAAAAAATGAAAAGAGAGAGAAAATAAATTAGTGAGTGGGCAAGCAAGTTTTGACACCACCATCTTTGCCGATTTTTCATTTTTTTTTTCCTGAACAGAATAGCTTCAAAATTAAGAGGGACAGACCTTACATCACAAATAACTATAAAAAAAAAATTCAGAAAAATATAATAATATTTAGGTGTCAAAATAAGTTTTTGAGGGATCCGAACCCCTTCAGGTTCGGGCTCCGTACGAGGACCCGAACGCCTGAACGTTCGGGGGTCAGCTTAGGGGCCTCCGTACGTTCGGCTTGACAACCCTGTGTGCAACAATATTTAAAGATGATAATGAAAAACATGATAAATATATCTCTCACTTATTATCTTAGTAGATTATACTTCATTTTTCTCGCTCGTATACTCACACATCTTAACACCAACAACACGAACAACAACAACAATAACAACAACAATAGTAACAAAAATAGTATTGACTGTAATTTGACTGATAATTGATTGAAATAAACATTCAATTACTATATTAATCAATTTAATTAAACAATCAATTTATCATAACAGTTAAATCATCACTTCACTATTTGATTAATTGATTATTATAATACACAAAGTTATGATAGCTATCATTAAAAAAAAAAAATTAGCGATACCCTTTAAATATCATAATTACACAAACTGTTCCCAAACAATTCATAATGATTTTTTTTTTTTTTAATGTATTTGAATTGAAATTTGAATTTGTATTTCAACAGTTCAAGATTGTACTAATTAAGCTAGGCCCGTTGATTATAAATATAAATTTGAGATTATATATTAAATTGTAAAGTATGTTAAAAAAAAAAAGTAAAAAAAAAAAATTAGAGATTGTTAAAAATGTTTTTTTTTTTCCCCCCTCTGCCAAAATGAATTGTTTTATAAAGACATTGTAAATTTCACCTCGTAATATTGTAGGTATGCGCATACAAAGTATATGTTTTATAACTGAAAGATCGAAAGTTTATTGGACTATCTCATCATACATTTTAAGAGATAACGCACACTTGTTTATTACCTGGACTTACTAAATCAAGTTGGTAAAAATCAAATTGATACAAAAGACTTGGGTTTCCAGGCCGAACGTACGGAGACCCCTAAGCTGACCCCCGAACGTTTGGGCGTTCGGGTCCCCGTACGGGGCCCGAACTTGAAGGGGTTCGAACCCCGTAAAAAATTATTTTGGCACCCAAATATTATTATTTTTTTTGAGTTTGTTTTTGTGAGTTCTTTGTGATGTAAGGTATCTCCGACTTAATTTTGAAGTCATTTTGTTCAGCCAAAAAAAAAAGAAAAATCCTTAAAGGTGGTGGTGTCAAAACTTGCTTGCCCACTCACAAATTTGGTTTTTTTCTTTTTTCACTTTTTGTTTTTCATTTATTTCGAGGCATAAACAATTTATTATTTTTTCAAACTTTATTCGTAGATTCTCTATTATGTCAGATACACATATATAAATTTTCATGGCATTTGTCTCAAAAAAAAAAATAAAAAAAAATCGCCAAAGATGGCGGTGTAAAAAACGTGCTCGCCCACTCAATAATTTAATTCTCGTTTTATTTTTTCTAATTTTCAATATTATTATTTATTTTTAGTATTTGATTTTTATTTCAAATTTGGTAAAGAATTTGGATATAACGTTGAGGCAAATGTTGTTTAGTTTATTCTTCTGCACAACATATATTTTGTTCAGATATTTTGGAATTCATTTTTTTTTTTTTTTTTTTTTATAGATCCGCCTTCGGCCGAACGGCCGAACGCGTCGAGAGGGGGTGCCGAACGTTCGGGCGTCCGGGTTCCGGCGTTCGGCCCGTCCCGAACGCCGACAACCCTGCAAAAGACTATATGAGAAATACAATATGAAGGAGGAGGGATAAAGTGAGGAGGAGGTGGTGCAAGGAGACAAGATGAAGGAGGAATAAGAATGGGGTGGGATGAGGCGTAACATGGAGGACACATACCGTGATAGAGACAAGGTGTGCTGACATACCCGGAGGTTACGTTCAAAGGCGGTTGCGGCTGCATGAATGTTCATGCATTGAAGTGGCTCAAACGCTTGAATTCGGGCATGTGAAACGAAAATAAAAAAGCAATCGGGCCGCAAAGTTGCGGTCCGAATGGGTCAGTGAATCTCTAAAGTTGCCCCGCTTTAGTATGGCAAACCGGGTGAGAGAAGTTGCTGGCCAGGATGTCTGGGCCCGACTGGCAGGGCCCAAATTTGCGCACCCCTCGGGCAGGGGTATTATCCAAAGATGAAGCGTCACCACGGTCCAAGTTTGCGCATCCCTCTGACAGGGGTATTACCGAAAGATGGAGGCATCAAAGGGCATTCCGCTGTACCCACGGGTTCTCGGGGCAATGGGGCACGATTTGAGGGGACGAAGCGCAAATTTTTTCTTTCGGACTGGCAGGAACTGGCACGGTACCTGGTCCCTCGAGGCTCGGCAGGTCACATTCGGACGTAGTGTGCAAGTATCCATATGATCGCGTGGACTTCAACTGGTCGTACCAAGCTGAAGTTCGCCATCGCTCACGCTCTGTTCGCCCATTCCCTCTCGACTAACTGCAGCCGAAGCAAGCAGTCGCTGGAACGTGAGCAGTCAGTTGTCCTCTTGTATTTTGTTCGTTCGTTCGTTCATTTGTCCGTTTGAGAGAGAGAGAGAGAGAGAGAGAGAGAGAGAGAGAGATGATTAAAAGGCGCGATTATCGGCTGCTTCATCCAGTGGATGATGGTGGGGCATCATCCACCTCCTCCTCGGCGGCAAGCTCTGATTCATCCGACATCGAATCCGAAGCCGACTCTCAGAGGGATCCGGGAAGCGACTTAACCGACTCCCCAGTTGGTGTCTCGGGGGCGGGGGCGGGGGCGGCGGCGGCGGCGGCGGCGTCGAAAGGCAAGGAGCGGGTTAGGACAACTGGGGCGGCGGCGTCGAAAGGCAAGGAGCGGGTTAGGCGGGAGAGCGGCTCGAGCGACAGCGATGGCGACGAGGATGGCAGTGATTTCGCTGACGTGGAAGAAGGCAGCGGGTCTTCGGACGAGGAGGAAGACGAGGATTTGCGAAATCGGGGAACGAAAAATCTTTCCCATGCGGTTAATGTCGAGAAGAAGAAGCGCAATGTCTGGGCGGAGGCGGTGGAGGATGCAGAGACCGAGAAGCCAAGAGACAATGAGGGAGAATTCCGGTCCTTGGTGGATGTGGGACGGAGAGCGGCGGTGATTAAGTGTAGGGTTTGCCCCTCCGTTGTCTGCTTGTCAGACAAAGACATGGATGCACACCTTAACTCCAAGAAGCATCTCAAGCGGATGAAGCTATTAGGGGAGAAGAAGCTGAAACCTATACTGGACAGCGATGGTGAGGTGGAGGAGGAGGAGGGTGAGACGCATGCGGAGAGACTGGCAAGGATAAAGGCGATGGTGGCGTCAGAGGCAGATGCGCAAAAGGAACAAAAGGAACAGCAAGAACAGCAGGGGAAGAAGCGGAGAAGAAAGCCGAGGAACAGGCGGAACAAGAAAAAGAAGGACGGCGGCGCATCCTCCGAAGCTGTACAGGCGGAAAACGGGGGATCTGAAGGGAAGGGCAATTTGAAAAAAAAGCGAAAGGATAGGAAGGACAAAGACAGAAGTCAGTCGCTGAGGAAGAAGAAGAGCGATCAGAAGGAGAGCAGATGATGTGACAGGAGTGGTGAAGGCACACTGATGATTCCCTCAAGAAGGCAGAGATCAAAGTACATCAGAGAGGGGAAGAGAGGTGGTGGTGCTGGCGGTTGGAGTGGGGGATGGAAGGGGGAGGGTGGAGGGGGAGGAGTAGGGAGACTGCGAAGGTCGGACCTGCCTAGCAAAAATGTGGGTGGAAAAGAGCTTTGAGACAATCTTTTTTTTTTTTTTTTCTTTTTTGGCGGCGGGGAAGGGAGTGGGGTCAAGAGCGGGAAACGGGAGGGGTTTAGTGGCCTATCGACATAGTGCAGCAGCAGGGGGGAGGATTAGGGGTGGGGGAAGGGGAGGGGGGCGTGCAGTTGTGGCATCTTGGGCCGAAAAGATGGACAATGAGGGCGTGTATTCGAGCCGTATCTGACTCATTATTAGTACATGGAAGGGCCTCTAGACATTCTTTTAACGGTCTTCATCTTCATTCTTTTTTTTTTTTTTTTTTTTTTTTTTTAAGATCGCCATCTGCGGAATTTCTCCTCCTCCTACTCTCGCCCCCCCCCTCCCCTCGCTTCCCGCAGCCAGCGCCGCCAACTCCCCGTGATTTCTGTCGTGTACCCACTCTGGCCAGCCTCCCCATGATTTGTGTCATTTACCTACCCTCTGACCGACTACTCGCATTGGTACTTCCTTCTCCTACTCGCATTGGCAGGAGAGAGAGGCAGGAGAGAGGCCGTGTGACCCTATCTCAATGGACATGCATGTGGAAGAAACGGACACGTGAAGAGGTAATCGCCGCCTATTGACGGGCGGGTATGGTTCTGAGGAGGAATGGGTCCGCAGAATGCTGTCAAGGTCCTGTCAATCCTCTCGAGTATTACGTCGGAATCGAGCAGAATTATCGGGATCGGAATCGATCAGGACGTAAAGAGTTTGAGGTACAAGACGTCGGGATCGGATCGGACGGCGGTAATACTAGTATTAATGGCCGCCGTCCGGCCGCACTATGCCATTGTCGTCGCTCGATCAGCGATGTCGTGCTGACCGTCCGATCGGCAGATCGGCAACGTCAGGGCCATCCGATGGGCAAATCGGCAATTTTCATGGGCGTCCTTTGGGTATTGTAATAGCCGTCCGTCTTCTCGACATTGTGAAGAAGTCGGGATCAGCTGTGCGGCAATTCATGGCCGCCATCCGATCGCGCAATGTCATTGTCGCCCGATTAGCAATGTCGTGCTGACGGTCCGATCGGCAGATTGGCAACGTCAGGCCCATCCGATGGGCAGATCGGCAATTGTCATGGACGTCCTTTGGGTATTGTAATGGCCGTCCTTTCGACATTGTCATATCGGCCCGATCATCCGTCGTATCAACAAAGGAGCAATGTCATGCCCGTCCTTTCGGGAGTGTAGTGGCCATCCTTTCGGCATGTCAGGTCGGCCGGATCAGACCGTCCAATGGCCGCCGATGTCATCGCCGTCTGATCAGGTCACTAAGTATGAGAGGAATAAGAAGAAGTCCGACAATGTCAACATCATCTCTGGAACAGAATTGCCGCCGCCGCCGCCGCTGTCGATTCTCGCCTTGGCGACTGCCATATCCATGACGAAAGTCCTTCTTGTCGACTGTGCAAATACCCCTTACAAAATATAAGCGTCGACTGTGCAAATAGATATTGTTGCGGGCGCGACGGCTCTCACCCGAATAGAACGCCCGGTCATTAACGCTGTGTCTAGACTGAAAGTTGCTGCGAATAGGGTTATAATGACTGGGCGTTCTATTCGGGTGAAGAGCGTAGGCCGGTCAGCAGGTCCACTCTTCCTTCGCACGAGTGGGCGGCAGTGGGCGGCAGTGGGCGGCAACGGGCGACAGGCGAGCAAGAAACCCACCCGCTGCGACGGGCCAGCAAGAGACCCACGCGCTCGCCCGAGCAAGAAACCCAACCGCTGCGACGGGCCAGCAAGAGACCCACGCGCTGGCCTTCGCTATTAGTATGATCTACAACTGCTATCTGGGTGATTAGGAGAAACCATCGTGCTGGTGCTTACGGGGAACAGAAGCAGCCACGATCTTCACCTTGTGACCCAAATGCGTTGTCGGCACCATGGCGGCGGTAGTCACACCTGGACGCACCTGGACGCAGATTGCAGAACAGATGCAGGCACGATGAGAGAGAACGCAGATGCCGACGGCGAAGGGGTTGCTGGCCTCGATGTGGTTCAGAAAGACGGGTGTAGAGAGATTACATCAGGAGTGGTGGGAGGGAGAGGGAGGGAGAGGGAGGGAGAGGGAGGGACGAGGAGAGGTGTGGAAGCAAAGGATCACGGGCTCGGCAGCGGCGATAGTGGAGGATCAGGAGGAGGAGGAGGAGGGGGGCGAGGGGGAGGGGGGCGAGGGGGAAGGGGGCGACGGGGAGGGGGGAGAAACCCAAGAGGGCCGTGGGAAGTGTTTGGGCGGCATTAGGAGTGGTAGGCTATGATGATGACGTTGTTGATGACCAGATAGACAATCCCCTTACAGGGGATAACGCAGGGGATAACGCACTAAGTGGGTAGCCACGTCACTCGAGCGACCGGTCGGCGGACCGCGGCACTCGAAAACCCGCGTAGTGCCACTTGGTGACGGACAACGTCTGTCGAACGACCGGATGGTGCCACGTGGCTGCTGGCACGTCACTAGGACGAGTAGATCGTGCCACGTGGCAGCGGAGGTTCAGTTCGAACGACCGGCCACCTGGCGGTGAGCCACGTCACTTGAACGACCACATCGTCCCACGTGGCCACAGCTGGATTGCCGTGAAAGTTGAAGTCGACGCGGACAGACAGACACACACACACACACACACACACACACACAGAGAGAGAGAGAGAGAGAGAGGGACGAACAACAAATGGGAAAAAAAGAGGAAAGAATCGGGACTAAGCAACTGGCAGCCCAGGTCGGTTGGTACATCCATGAACTGCTGGACTTCAGAACGACCTCAGTTCGTATCCGGATGGAATCAGTTGAGTAAAGTAAGGACCAGATCCCACTGGTAACGAGGATGGAAAAAAGCGTCTCAATCTGGATGTGTTTGTGGAGATGTGCAAAAAATTGTGACTGATCTGCTTTTCTGCATCTCTGTGTGGAACACGTCCTGTGGGATCTGGCTCTGAATTAACCTGGGGGCGGTCAGTTCGAAGCAAGATGATATCGCAAGGCCGCAGAATCGGGACTATCTTTTTTTCTCCGAATAGAAATCAGCACAAATTTTCGGTCACAATTACTTCATTTTTTTCAGAGATTGTAGCCTCGCGGTCTACTCGGGAGAACACGTTAGAAATTGAACATGTTGTCTGCGAATGATGGGCAGGCGTCGATCATGCTATATTTATGTTCCCGCATTCTATCTGGGTCTGAGAAAACACAACAGATGTCGAACCTTTTGTCTGAGAATACTGGGCAGGCGTCGAACATCCTAGGTTTGTTTTGCATCCTTTTTCAACTTTTTCTGTTATTCCTCCCCTCCCTCCTCCCCTTTTTTTTTTTTTTTTTTTTTCCCACCAAAAACAGCCCGAGTGCATGCTAGAGGTGCTGGTAAGAGCAAACACCGCTAGCACGCTCAGGAAGGCTCCATCTATTGGTGGGGAGCAACACCTGCTGGAAATCGGGTCCAGCGTCCCTGTAAACATCCAATCCCCTGATCACGACCGCATGCGATGAATGGACCCCCACCATTGTTCTGAGTGTACAATCAGGTTTCACAATGTGAATCGGACATTCTAAGGGTCAGATCCCACTACCCTGGATCATTCATTTTTCACCCTCGATTACGAAGATCAACGGTCAGAAATGAACAATAAGGGCCACTAGTCTGCTGCTGCTGCCTCTGCAATCCTATTGCTGCTCCTGCTGTGCTATTGCTGCTCCTGCTGCTGCTGGTGTGCTATTTCTGCTGCTCCCGCACTTGGCGAGTGATTTCTTTTGCTCCTGCTCCTGCTCCTGCTCCTGCTGTGCTATTGGTACGGTTACTTAAGTAACTGCTACTACTACTGCTGCTGCAGTGGGGGTAGTGATGGGCCTGATGGCTATGGTAGCAGCAGAGGCCGTTTCTGTTTGCTGTTGCTGCTGGTGTTTTGGCTATTGATATTGCCGCCGTTGCTACTGTGGGGCAGGAGCTGCTGCTTCTGCTGGTGTTGTTGTGCCCAGTGGTATTGCCGCTGCTTTTATTGTTTCCTGTCTTCACCCAAAAATAACGCCTGGGCAGTTTATAGGAATATAACATTATATTCGTATATTTCGCCCGGGGAATATTATTTGGTAAATTGGTGGGAACATCGGTGAGGGCCAAAATTCAGGGGGAATTTTTTTATTTTTTTATAAATAAAATTCTGTGGAAAAAAGATGTTGTTCAGAATTTCAATGCGACCAACTTTTGTCTCAGGGTCACTTCAGAAATTCCTTATAAACAAACAAACTAAAAAAAATCAAACCGAAACATACCCGTTGGAAGGAAAAAACCTTTTCAACCCCCTCTAAAACCCATGTATACCCCCCTCCTGCCCTTTAAAACCCATGTATACTACCTCTACAAGGCACTCTGCCCATAGAACATTCCAATATAACGCCCGGGCGTTCTATTCGAATATAACCCTGGGCATTCTATTCGAGGATAACGCCCGGGCGTTATATTTGAAGGTGCGTTCTATTGGGAAAAAAGGGAGTGTAAACGAAACTCTGATCTTTTTAAGGCGAGTTGAATATAATGCCCGGGCGTTATTTTCGGGTGAAGATGGTAGTTAGCTGCTGCTGCTGCTGCTGGTGCAGCTACTCAGCTGTTTCTACTGATACTGCGGGTTGCTGCTGTGGGCCAGCTGTTGCTATTAGCCCACAGCTGTTGCTGCTATTGCTGTTGCTATTGTGGGGTTGCTTCTGCTTCTGCTTCTGTTCCTCAGGTTGATGTTATTGTCGTGGCGCTAAATCCAGCCGATCATCGACAGGAAGTGAAACGGTTTGTTGTATTGTCCTCGTGCAGATGCACCCATGCTCTCTTCCCATTATGATATCTGGAGCGTGAGCATGATTGACTTTTGAACCACCACCACCTCCGCGCCCCTTTTGCCGAGGTGGAATCGCCCCGCATGCCTCAGCTGTTTCTACTGATACTGCGGGTTGCTGCTGTGGGCCAGCTGCTGCTATTAGCCCACAGCTGTTGCGGCTATTGCTGTTGCTATTGTGGGGT